CATTTATATTCTTTCTAAAGTTACACTCCCCAAATCAGACCTTGAACATAAATGTCATTCAAAAATCCTAAAAGCCTGTTGATGATGCCTATAGGATGACGCCTAAGGCTTCTCCTAATTCCTAATTATTAATTTATTTATTGAAGAATCACTCACTATTTGCCTGCCATGTGCAGAACACTGTATGAATAGCTATCCATCACCAAAGAGCAACATCATCTTTTGCCTTCCATTCTCTCCAATAACTGCTATTTGCCCATATTAAACTACTGGATCATCTGCACACCTCATTTTCCATCTGCCTCTTGCTGGCTAATAGGATTCTTCTGTGAGTAGCCATCCCCTCACAGGATCCACTGTGTTAGTATGCGTTTGCTTTCTTGAAAACATGGAATGAATGAAAGTGGCATGAAGCCGAAGGCAAGATGGACCATTAATACAACCTGGAGGGAGGAGGCTGATGAAACACAGTGGTATAACTCTTTTAATCATAGCTGTGGGAAAAAAAAAAGTCTGTCTTTCTACACAAAAGAAGCATGTGGACAGCAGGAAAAGAATAGGGAAAGGGAGACATGTTGGCTCACAAAACCTGTCTTTGATTCTCTCTGAGAAAAGAGGGTTGATAGCAACTGTCTTCTAAATGAGAAAGAAAACAAATTTATTTTATGAGTAACAGTTAAATACCCATCAGGCAATTAGAGTGCTTTATAAAGGCAGCTTTGGAACACAAGATACTTGAAGATTAGGCATTCCTTCATAATTCAAGTTCATTGTTCCTCCAAGTAAAATATGTGTCTCCCTTTAGTTATTCTCTCACGAATTATACTTTAAAGGCAAAAAGACATTTTTGATAATGCACAGCTTAAACTTTTCATTAAACTACCAAATTTAAATTCTACCTTTTTGTGCACTCTGACATTTTTGTCTGGCATTTTCATTAATTTTGCGACATACATAAATGTAGCTGAAATGTTAACTGATCAATACTTTGTCTCTCTCGTGTAGCACTAGAGCTCTGTTCCCCAAGGACCACAACAGCAGAACAGAAATTAAATGTGTAAAATATCAAATGTTAATGTTAAACACAGCGGCACTTACTGTATAACGACGGAAAAGGCTAAAACAATTCCAAATGGACAGATGGTACCACAAATTATCTACAATCACATTTAAAGATTAAAGTTTGTCCTGTAAAATAATTCTTTGACGCACACTGAAGTGTGTCCTTTTACTGATAGCTCAGTTGTCCAATTATTTCTGTGCTCATTACAGTGAGAGATGACAGTCCTGGAAAGAGGGAGACTATGTATTTTTTTTCCACGTTGCACCCACTGACATCCACAAGAACACAAATGTCTGGTCAAGAGCCTGATGAAAATTAGGCCCAATTTAGGAGATGTTTCAACAGCTACAATATGCTAGTCCAAAAGAAGAGCTCTCTCTCCCCCCCTCTCTCCCTCCCTCCCTCTCTCTTTCGCTGTGATACTTTGGTGGTAGTACAATATTAACATACATTTTTTAAAAAAAATCTCAAAATGGTACAAAAACCTAATCCATAGCCTGCATAAAACAAGAATTCATGGCAAAGGGTTATGCTGTATTTTACTCATTGCACCCCATCCTGTCCAACCTGTAATATAGAGTCTATCAGCTCACATTGATTCTCCCCTACAGTAGAGGTAATGCTAAAGAAACTATAGCTTCCCTAATCTTACATTTCTTTATACTTTCACTTAATCGAATTGGGGCACATGACAGCATTTTTCCATTTTGTTTTCATTCGGAAAGGGAAAATTAAAAGTATATGGAAGTTGTATACATTTCTAAGGGAAACTCATTGATCTTTGGGCCCCAAACCAGTGTAGTATAAATGTGTTCTGAGAAGCAACAGCAATACTTTTGGAAAAGTCGCTCAAATGGAATCAGCACTATTATAATAGACTTATAGTGTGGGTAAGGGAGGAGAAGGGAACAATGCATTCTTTTAAAAAATGGTATACTACTCATACTTCTAATGGAAAGCAGTTTCTGTTCAAGCTTAACTACCACTTTTTTTTTTTTGCTTTTTTAAGGCCCTGGTTACACAGGTTTAAAAATTTTCATTTTTACTTATCCATATTACTTGCAAATAATAATATTATTTTAAAAAATAGATGATCTGGAACGGCCAGTTTCTTTTGCTGAATCGTTACAGAATTTATAACATAAAACAATTATTTTAAGAAGGAAAAAAACACTGATTCCTGAGTCCAACAACAGCTTGTGTTGTCAGATTTCAACCTGATGGTCTTAAAACTACCTGATTGACAGGCCATTGAAAACATCATTTTGAATGGAAACACCAAGTTATAAGTTATGATGTATTAATTGTTTGACAATAAACTGTAGGCTTATCATCAAACAATATCTCTAGATGGACATCAATATCTATTTTTTGCAGAAATCTTTTCTTTCTAAAATGTAAGATACATTCTGCCACCTTTTAAAATGGATGATATTGAACATAATTTAATCTTTCTCAATTACTCAAAATCATCACTATGATCAGTCTGTTTTTTGTTTTTATTTTTTCTGTTCCTTCCCTCGTTGCCAGCTTTCAATTTTCCCATTGTCATCATGATGACCTCACTCTAACCTCCTCTTATTTGTTGCCTGGAATCTGCCATTCTCTGGGAGGCTGGATGACCAAATGTCTTAAGAACTACATGATGAATAAGATGCAATAAATCACTGGATGAACAGGAATCTAAATTCTTGACTTTATTTTTTAAATTTTTTAAATTTTTTTTTTTGGCTAGGCAATGGGGTTAAGTGACTTGCCCAGGGTTAAGTGTTATGTGTCTGAGACCAGATTTGAACTCGGGTCCTCCTGAATCCAGGGCTAGTGCTCTATCCACTGCGCCACTTAGCTGCCCCAATTCTTGACTGTAGAAGAGGGCTTTTATGATAGTTATTTGGGTACTAAGAAACAAATTTTTATAAGATCATAGATTTTTGAATGGGAAGGGTCCTCGTTGATACTCTAGTCCCGCCCTCTCTCATTTCATAAAAGAGGAACTGAGGCCTTGAAAACGTAAGTGACTTGCCCAAGACCACAAAAGCAGTAAGTAGCAGAGTCAGGATTGGAACCGAAATTTCTTTGATTCCAAATTCAGCACCCTTTCCACAAAACCCTGATGATTTTATTTCACCTACTTCAGGATATGGGGCTGTATTCCAAAGGTTTGAGCTTGCATGAATAAGACTCAGAAATGGGTTCTTGTTAAACTTAAAAAAAAAAGTGAGATCTGATTGTCTTCCAATGAGATCAGTTAAGAAACAACACCTTAAGGGTGTCTTAACAGTCTCCTGGGAGTCCCTTACAAAATTCTGTATGCAGGGTCTTAATGAGAGTTTAGAAATCTCACATTATCTGAGAGATCTCTGGGAGCCAGTTGCAAAGCTTATGTATGAAGCAATATAAAGCTCACTTGAGAAATCACAGTATTCAGAATTACCTAATTTATTGCTAAACAAATGGCTTAGTTGTAGCTGTTTATGTTTTCCTAGTTCATAAGCAGTCTGTGGTTCTCTATCCCAAGGAGTGAATCAAAGATGGAAACCACAATCTTGCAGCCTGATTTTTGCTCATGTGTTACAGGTCTCCAGGAGAACCATGGGTGATGATGGCAAGTAATAAACAAAAAGCTCATTCTCTATTTCTCAAATTACCACCTACTCCACCTAGCAAAGAGGCAAACCAGCTAACATTCCATCTTCTCCAACTCTCACCAACTTGGTGAGTGCAGAGCTACTATGGAAAAGCCTCTGCAGAGAGTAACAACACCATGCTTGTTTGTTAGATTAAACTATTTTAGCTCCCACAGAATCTGCTATGTTAAAACTTCATGGTGACAGCAGTAGCTTTCCTTATGGCGGCAGAAATATGTCAATGGGAAACAGGCAACCCCACTTTCTGGTAACTTGTAACACAAAGAGAGATACCCTTTGTTCCAAGGGCATACACATTAATGAAAGTTCTATTCAAAGACTGGGGAACAGATTACAAAGTACTAAAAAGATGTGCTCACATTAATTTGAATGGTAATACTAAAATGTCCATTTGTTACTAAAATTAGAGAAAATTTTGACTAAAACCCTAATAAAACTGTAGTCTACCAAATCAGGGACTCAAGAATATGGATGTATTTTCATTCATATCATCACCAACATGAAAGTATAATTTAGAGATTTTAAAAAGGAGTAATACATTGAAACTTCAAAATCTGCCTCACACACAAATGGTGAATAAACACAAAGAACATTCCTCCTAAGTCCCACTTGAGGCAGGGGGCAGGCATCCCGGATCTGGGATTCTCTGGCTCTGTGACAGTTTTCATCAGCTCTTTTTAAGTAATTGAAGTAAAAGGCTATAGGATGGACACTTTTAGGGGAGCTATTCTGATCTATTACATTCTCCCTTGCTGTTTGAAAAAAAACAACTTGACACCTCAGAAATAATAACATTTCTCTTAAATAGGTCACATCAATTTCCCATTGATTCACATTTTTTTCCAAATCATAAAAATAGCATTCCCAGTGGTGTAATACTCTTTTTTTAAAAAGGCAAATAATAGAAAGAAATAAAATCAAAGCATAGATTGTCAGGTTTATTAAAAATCTTAGTACCAAGGGCTTCTCTTAGCTCTGGCAAACTAAAACTGTGCAATATGGACAGTTTATCTTTTTTTTTTTTACTTTATTTGTCACTCAGAAAATGAAAAAGTTGCTAAGATGTCTTATTTCTGGATTTTTGAGTTGGGGGGACACAAACATTCTTGGGCTCAGATACTATACAATCCATCAGGTTCTGGCCCAGAGCAAATCTCCTACCTAAGTCTTAAAGATAGGCATTTTAAAATGGCAATACTGACATGACTGTAAGTATGGTCACAGCACCATGTAGCTATTATTATAGAATGCAGTGAATAACCATGGAAAGCAGTCCAGTGTGATCATACCACGAAAGCAGCGAGGCTCCTTGGGGGTGAATCCCAATCGAAACAACTGTTAATGTAGTAGGCAGCATTTACCAGCACCATGACACAGCGCTTCATCCGGATGAAGTTTCTGAGCAGCAGCTGTGAAGAAGATGGAAATAGTGTCAGAATTAACCAGGCTTCAACCTAATCTTCTTGCAACTCATTTTGCTTAAAAATATGAATGGGATAAATGAGTCAATATACAAGGCCATGCCAAGAAAAAAATGCAAAAAACAAGTTTTTTAAAAAATTGTTACCCATAATTCTAACCCATAATCAAATATTCTTAAATTTTCTATCTGACTGTTAGAAAATGAAAAGGGTAAAATCATCTTCCAGAAGTAAAATTTTCTACCAAAGCACTATTTGATATAAAAAAGAAGAAATAGATCATTTAAAAATATTAAATCTGTTTTAGAATTTCAGTGTAATCATTAAGAGATTTCACACTGAAATGCACTGTTTCGAGATTTCTCTTTGAGGACCTAATGCAGTAATTTGCAAATTATAACTCCAACATACCTCTATACAACTTTGCACCTCTATATTTGAATTGTTTTTTCTCTTTATTACTACATTTCTCCAGATAGCCTCTGACTTACCATTCTGGTCACTACAAACCTAGCCAGTATAAATTGTAAGGTAATTTTCTCACCATGAGTTGAAAAATTAGGAAAAGAGATATTCTCATCTAAAAGAATATCTTTTCCCCCCAAACCATTACATTGAGGAGTGAATCATTCCCTTTCAGTGTGATTTTAATACTGTCATAAAATACAATTGTGAGAAGAACGGCTTGCTGAATCACTGGCAATATTTGTAATGACAGAACCACATCAATCATTCAGTTTAGCTCTGCAGGTTAATTTTTTAAGTGCCTTTTTTTTCTAAATTAAAGTATATTCTAATGTCAATCTGATATGTTTAAGACTAGAAATAGCTGGGTAAAATTTACTGTGATCACCATTTGCAAACAAATCCCTGAGAGAGAGAGAGAGAGAGAGAGAGAGAGCGAGAGAGAGAGTGTGTGTGTGTGTGTGTGTGTGTGTGTGTGTGTGTGTGTGTGTGTTTATTTTAGTTTGTATGTTAACAGGTTTTGAAAAGGAGCTCATAGTTTACATTAAATAAAGCATTTGGGTTTTTTTTTTTGCCTGTCCCTACTGACAGACCCTCTAAGAACTGGTTTTGCTATAATCGTGGAGAAATGCAGCATGTAGGTTCTAAAATGAAATAAGACACTGCATTTATAATTAATCCATTATTTTTAATGCTTCAAATCATATCAAAGAGCATGGGGGTTTATTATCCCTCAAACTGATTGGATTCCTGGCATCCAAAAGGTTTGCAAATGTTGAAAAGCATAGGAACATTTTTCAAAAATTATCATTATAACAAAACAAAAAAAAATAGACCTAGCAAAATTTTATAGTCAAACTAAAAAGAATTCATTTGGATGCAAACATTTTTCAAATGGGATGTAAGTATACTTTTTCCTTCATCTTAATTTGATAAAAAAATCTAATTTAAAATGACAAGCATTTTCTTCATCTGATAAAAAAATCAGATTTATTGTATTCAGTGGCCTCAGCTAAAGAGTCTAATGTATTTGCTTTTAAAGTGACATCACAGTTAAAACCTGATTAACAGGAAGATGACAACCTTCTTGCTCATAAAAAGATGGAGTTGTCACTCATCAGGCTTAAAAAGAAAAAAAAACTTTTACTAGGTGCAATTTACATACACCTGCATTGCACCTGTGGATGGACTGTACATACATATGAACTCAATATGGGATATGTTCATTTACATATTTCAAGGAAACCAAAAAATTCATTTTATGTGAAAATGCTCATTCTTCCTCTACAACATCTGAACATATACAAGGATCTAGATTACCTCCCCCCCCACCTTCCACTGGTTTTCCCTGGGATTTTCCTGAAGGACCCACAACAATTTCACATAAGTCAATGATCTAAATATATTTCCCCCCAACTCTAAAGTTTATTTGAAATAGCTATGTAAAGGTTTCTCTGATCAGCTCAGGTTTTCCCAGAGGGTTTAACCTTTTTATTTGTTCATTTATTTATTTATTTTTGTTTTTACCTGTTTAGAGAGTCTGTTTTCCTCTTCAATGTACTTCTGCTCTTTGGGAATTAATGTTCGGATGCTGGCTTTCACCTATATATCAAAATATGTGTCTATGTTATGGATTTCTCTGTTACTAATGTTTACTAGTTACACATAGTTCAATTTGCCATAATTCCCCGAGTTTCAAAGTCTTGGCTGCCATGCTCATAAAATATAAATGTCTAAAGTTCCCCATGCATGAGCTTCAGTCTCCTACAAGAGCCGCATCAGGGGCTGCTGCTGCTACTGCTGCTAGAAGTAGCAGCAGTAGCAGCAGCAGCAGCAGCAGCAGCAGCAGCACCCACCACCACCACTGCATAGTAATAGGAAGAGTGGGCGTGCCATGCAGAGGCAGAGAAGTATTCTCCAGTACACATCAAGGTTTAGAGAAAATGAAGAATGACAGAAATTCTCTACAAATCAGGAACAAAAGCTTTCGTGAAACTGAACTCTTTAGCAGTACAAAAAAGCCAAAGTTAAGACTTACAGCATTAAAAATCACATCTATTTCAAGATAGATGACCCCCTTTGTTGGCCCTGTCAGCTGCTTGTTTTTCAAGACGTAGGCTTTCTGTTCACCATTTTGAATCTGCGGGAAAAGGACATGACAGCCGTCTGTCTTGAGGTCTCCACTGAATACACTCCCTCAGTGACCTTTGACCCCCAGCTGCTGAAACTGACAGAGAACCCAAAACAACTGTGGCAATTCTGACAAGTACCTGTTCATTACCAGGATCAAGTCTGTCAGGAAAAATTAACTATCATGGGATTCAACATGGCCGTGAACTGAGTATGTTAAAATTTCTAGTGTTCTTATTACAGACCTTGGTTGAGAAATGACAGACACAGGGCTGAGGTTTTTTTTTTTTCCTTGAGCAAAAGCAATCACAGAGCAGGGTGTCAGGTAGATGAGACTTACAGTCAGCAACGGTATTGCAACTTTGCCCAGGAAGTCAGCACTTCGGTCTCGATCTTCATCATAAACCGTCACTTCAAGGACTGAATGGATATCTTTAATATTGCTATATTGAAAATAAACATATGCAGAAAAAATGCCTTTGTTAGTGGTTAACAAGGACCAAAAGGGGGTTTTGAAAAGGCAGCTGTCCCCTACTGATTTTATATGTTGGTGTGTATACACAGGAAGAGGGAGGGAGGACACTGTGTAAATCAGAATCTCCCATAATGCATCTGAACAGACTGCAATTCGTGAGTCTCTTACCAGAGAATTTCACCATCTTTAAGAATTCAACACAGAATTACTTCTTAAGTTATCCACCTGATCTATGATCAGAGTAAGTTATTTTTAAAAAAATCATCATTCAATGACACAGAGATATAAAGGAAAGACCACTTCTTCCCACTGCTTCTTCTAGTTCCCATTTCTTCCTCTGCCTGCCTACATTTCTCCCTCCTACACTCAACCTTTGGGGCATAAACTCCATTCAGTTTGATATTTTATAAAACAAAATTTCTTGTACAATTAATATAATGCCTGTAAATTTTACAGTATACGTAAATGACAGAATAATTGCTCTTAATACTAGAGTATCCTTTGGGGCTAAACATCTTTTTCAAACCGGAAACTTAAATTCAATGTAAAACAGGAAACGCTTCTTGCAAGAGCAGGAAACACAAAATGGAGTCTGTACAGCTATGATACTGTCCTGGGATTTAGAAACTAAGTACTGTTCCATTATGCTCTGCAGATGACATATGTTGCAAGAGACTGTGTGAGCTCCTCATATTTTTGTTTTTGGAAAAATAAAACCAAATTGTTGACAGCACTTATTCTTTGATCAAACTGCTTACCAAGAAAACATGAATTAAGGGAAAATAAAAATGAATATATTCATTAGAGAAAAATCACAACCACATGTGAGAAGAGGTTTTATCAGGGCACAATCAATTAATGGATCTGATAATAATCAAACCAATTCATACAATTATGCATGCCAGAGACAAACGCTCTCCACAACCATCTTAAAAGTGCTGCTTTCCAGGCTAGCCTTTGGTCTCATAAAAATGTGGAATTCTTTAAAGACAATCATTCAGCTAGCTGAGGCTTTAGTTACAAGCTCTGAGAAGATACAAGAAAAACAAATTAATGAAGAATTTGGCATGTTTCTTCATTGACACAGACTGAAACCATGACAAAAAACCTCATGAACGGAACAACTGTTGAGGGAGTTTTCTTTTGTTTAGACTTCATTAGTCAGGCCCCAAGAAGAAAAGCGTAGAGTTGTAAGATATTACAGAACATTGGGAGTGTCCTGGGTTTGATTCTAAAAATTTTTAAGTTCTAAAACAATAGGGAAATTAACCCAGAGAATGTTTGGGGACCAAGGACAATATTTAATATTTTCATTATGCTAAAAAGAAACACACCACAAACAGAGTGTCTGCTGGATTCCTGATTGGGTTGTTTGCTGATTTTCGAAATAGAACAAATACAGCTTTGTCTGCCTTGGTGTCAACGCAACTGGGAGAGAATTTCAATAGCAAAGATTAAAGAAAGTAGCAATACAGTGATTCATTTGGGAAGGGAACCCCTCAGTTGATTTTTATTTTAAAAAATCATCTGCAAACACCAACATGTGGTGAAAACCTCTGTCCTATTTCCATATGAAGAAGGAACAGACTTCATTCTGGATACTGTCTTTGGAAGTTGATTTAGCAAAATGGAAGACCCATTGAAAAGAGACTTCTAGGGAAAATGCCACATTTTAAACCATATTTCCCCAAATATTCTCAATTATTTAAAGGAGTAGGCAGACTTACAATGTAAAGACTTTGTTCCATTCAGGGTTGAGATTTTTGTAGACTGTGTGTGTCAGTAATCTATCATTGTTCAGTTCTACTACGCAAAACGGGTCACTTTTACCTGCAAAGAGAGATTGGGATTTCAGATGAAAAGCATTTGTATAAAACTGACCTCAGATGACATAGTGAAGATCTATAGTTACCGCTTCTCTCCCATAGAAAGAGTTTTAAGGACCAAAAAGGCAACACTACTTTTATTTTGTTGTTGCTGTTCAGAAATAATTGGATGACCAGAACAATAATTCTGATTTATTAGAAATTTAGAAACTGAGCAGTAATGGAGAGCAAATTATATAACTGGCCTTTTAATTTAAGGTTTTGGATTTTTTTGCAAAAATAGTAACACAAATGCTAATGTGGGGGGGAAAGGAAATTCTTTGTCCACTGCTAAATCTCTATTTATTATTTCTATAATGACCATTTGAAAAGTATTTTGCTCTCATGTATGAAGTTCTTAATTCATTTGATCAATTAGTAATGAAACGGAAATTCCTAAACAAATTTATTAGGAGAAGAATGCAGTGCTACATACTGATTTTATGTGTGTACCTAGATAGATACCTATATATACACACAGATACATACACACGTGTATATATGTATATCTATGCATATGTGTGTGCATAATGCATACATACACACATACCTACACCCACATACCCAGATATATATATGTGTGTGTGTGTGTGTGTGTGTGTGTGTGTGTGTGTGTGTATACATATATATACACACACACACATACACACACACACACACACACACACACATATATATATATATACACATACAGATATACATTAGAGAGAGAAAGAGGGGGGAGAGACACTTGTTTAAGGATTGTTTTAATTCTGTTCTCTTATTGTATTTATTATGCTACAGGACAGTAAACCAGGCCTTGCAAAGGAAAGAAATTCTGCTACATGAACTGAAGCATGGACAGACAACTCATCTGCATGTTAAAGAGCAGCAAATTTGTCTGTCTACTCAGGGCAAAGGGTTTGAAAGTTCTGGCCTGCCTAAAGTGACTCTGCCAGACTGGAATCTAGCTCACTCAGCAATTATATTCCGTGATGTCCTCAATATTTTTGTAATATAATGTCATGTATTATAAGAACCCACAAATTCAAAGGCTCCATGGGGCAGCATTAATGATATTAGTACGGCATGTAATTTGTTTGATATCTTATACAAATGACAATGAAATCAATATTTAGACAAAGCTGTGCAGAGGTCATATCTTCTAAACTACAATATTGATTTAGACTACATAAGAGGTTAATGTGCATATTATTAACTTTAATGATAAAGAATAATTGTTTTAAATGCATTGCGAATTGCAGTCACAGTAGTTTACATTTCTGTGAAAGCTTAAATATCATCAAAGCTTTTCAATTAAATTTTAATAGGAATGAATTAATTATTACTGAAAGAAAAGCAATGCATGACAGTGCAAAGCTATATTTACCTTCCATGGGACAATTATTCAAAGAAGCTGTATAAACTTATACCCCACTTTCATTTATTTTCTCATTTTGATTTATAGAAAAGATGTTTGCTAGTTCAGTGGACTCCATATACTCTAAGAAAAGTGATTTATTAAGGATTATGCTTTGTGTCTTTAAGGCCTACTTTCCCATTTCTGCAATCTTTTTATAAGAATAATTTACACACATATACCAAGGGCATCTTTGATAAAGAAATGAGAAGGTAATAAATAGGCTTTTGCAAATGATATTCTACAGCAAATAAAATCTTTACAATCCCACAATTGACTGAAAAGTATATACAATAAAAAAGTCCCGCTGTGTTTATTGTTTATTGACTATAAGAAAACATTTGGTTTGGCAAAACAAAACACACTTTAAAAGCTTCTTCTACTAAGAAGGTATCTCTTGCGTGTATATCAAAATCATACAGGTTTTCCTGAAAGAAGTAACTATAGAAACATATGTGTTAATAGCAAAGGAGACACAAAATGGCAGCAGTGGAAAGAACATTTACTAATCTGAAGTTAGAAGATTTGGGTTCAAATCACGGCTTTGCCACTCAGAAGTTAATGACCTGACTAGGGTCATCTAGGTCACCGTAAAGTACCCTAGGCAGGTCATTAATTTCTCTGAGTGTCAGCTTCCTCATCTGTAAAATGAGGAAGTTGAACTGGATGACCTTGAAGACTTGTTCTTTTTTTTTCTTTTTTTTTTTTTTTGGTAAGGCAGTTAGGGTTAAGTGACTTGCCCAGGGTCACATAGCTAGTAAAGTGTCAAGTGCCTGAGGCCTGATTTGAACTCAGGTCCTCCTGACTCCAGGGCCAGTGCTCTATCCCCTGCACCACCTAGCTGTCCCAAAGACTTGTTCTTGAGCTAAGTTGACTTAGCTCTTTAATCACCCCTCCCCACTCCCAACCTTCTGAATGAAACTAAGGCCCATGCTTTTGTTTCTGGCTCCTTCAAAAACAAAAACAAAAAACATTATCCTTCTGATAAGGCCAAATGCCTCCAAGGCTGAAAGTAGCAGGCAATATTGCAAAGGACAGTGAAGAGAGAGACACATGGTAGGCACAAGTAGATTATAACATATCACCAAAGAAAATTTGCTTTGGTGAAGTGGCATAAAGGATGTCATCAGAGAAACTAGAAAATGAGGCGGGCCTGTCATTCCTCTATGTGTTATTGGAAGTCATACAATGGGAGATAACGTTTAAAAAAAAGGTAATGCTGCATTCATCAAATAAAGAATAACATGATAATGGCTTATGCTACATATTTCAATTATTTCCCATGAAATGCAGGTGCCAAGATCATGGAAACAAAGCTTAAAGCTCAAAGCTTAGACGTTTAATTCCAACCTCCCTTTTCAGCCTAGCTGTGCAACATTCTCCCTCATGCGTATCCTATGTTCCGGGAAAGCTGGACACTGTACTTAATGACTCCCCAAACATGCCTCTAGTTGGCCCATTTTCTTTCCTTTGCTCACATTGTTCTTTATCCCTGAAATGCCCCTCCCTCCCACATTTGAATTGAAAGCCTATTTATCCTTCAAGGTCTAGTTCAATGCCATCCACTCCACGAAACTTTTCTTGATTCCTACCCCAAACACTTAGTAGGAAGTGATCTCTTCCCAACTATGAACCCATGTAAAACCTATGCATCCACCTGTTATGCATTCACCACATTCTGTTTTAGGTTATATCTATTTATGCCCTGGTCTTAGCTCTCCTCCCAAACAGTGAACTCCTCACATTGAGGGTAGAGATTATCCTATCTCTTCAGTTCTTCCAAGTCTTAGCAGATGTTTTACTATTACATGATAGACATTTAAACTTTTGTTGAATGAGTGAATGCATTTCTCAGGCCAGTTCCATTTCCCAAAGACTAAATATTCAGCAAGTACTTAGGGAGCATCTGTGTTTTAAATGCAGAAGAAGGGATGCTGCTTAAAGGCAGTATTGTTTCTCTCTCTCTCTCTCTCTCTCTCTCTCTCTCTCTCTCTCTCTCTCTCTCTCTCTCTCTCTCTCTCTCTCTCTCTCTCTGTGTGTGTGTGTGTGTGTTTCTTCCTCTCCTTTACATGCCCAAGCTTCATACATCATAAGAACTTGGGAAACAAATGTTGAATTGAATATCTAGAGCCCTTCATAATCTAGCCCTCTCTTATCTTTTCAGTCTCCTTCCACTTTACTTTGCAACATGTACTCTTTGATCCCGTGACACTGGTCTCCCGGCCATTTTGTGAGCTAATACTTTATCTCTTGGCTCTGGGCAGAATGTTCTCCTTTCTCCATTCTACTACTGACCTTGCTGGCTTCCTTGCTGGCTTGGGATTTAACCCAACTAAAGTTCCATCTTTTACTGAAAGCCTTCCTCAAATTATATTAATTCTAGTGCCTTCCCTCTCTTAATTATTTCCTTTTAATCCTGTATACCAGGGCAGCTAGGTGGTGCTGTGGATAGGGTAACAGGGCTGGGGTCGGGAAGACTCATCAACCTGAGTTCAAATCTGGCCTCAGACACTTACTTGCTGTGTGACCTGGGCAAGTCACTTAAACCCTGCTTACCTCAGTTTCCTTATCCGTAGCTGCAGAAGGAAATGGCAAACTAGGTCAGTATCTTCACCAAGAAAACCCCATATGGGGTCACTAAGAGTCAGACACAACTGAAAATAATTGAACAAGAACAACATCCTGTATATAGCTTACTTTGTATATATTTGCACATTGTCTCCCCCATTAAATTGTAAGCTCCCTGAGGGTAAGGACTGTCTTCAGCCTCTTTTTATATCCCTAGAGCTTAGCACTGTGCCGGGCACATAGCAGGTACTTAATAAATATTCACTGATTGACTGATTGATAGAACCCTTTGGAATACATAAAAGAAGTGAAAAACCTAGGCTTTGCTCTCCAGCAGTTTATCATCCAGTTAGGAATTGAAATATGTACCTAACCCAGAACAATGGCTCACAGCAGTATAAGTGACACACTTCAAAGACAAAGTGATTTTAGTATCCCCAAAGAACTTTAAGTTTACATGTCAAGGGTGGATCTACATGAAGCTGAGCAGGTCTTTGCTACTGATTTTCATTTCCTCTTTATTTGTTTTATTTCCACTCAAAATAAGTACTTATCCCATTTACCAACTAACTCCTGAGGCTCCAGAACAAAATAATAATGAGTAATGGATGTAGAAATAAAATTTCCATGAGTTCTAAATGCAAGAGATTAATGCTTTAAGCTATGTGTTTGCAGTGGAAAGAACATTGGTCTTGGCAGTTGGAAGACATGGGTTCAAATTTTGGTTTTGCTACTTACTTCCAGTATGACCTTAAGCAAGTCACTCCTCCTCTGCGTCTCAGTTTAATCATCTATAAAATGAAAGAGTTGAACTAGATGGATGGCCTCTCAAATCCTTTCTAATCTGTGATTCTATGAACCTAGTTTTACTTGCAAGAGAAATATTTAATTCCTTGAATTGAGCTCTCCACTGCTCAATGGAACTTCCCCAAATTTACTTCTCTCATTGATTACTCTGATTAGCTCATTGCCCAAGAAGGTCTAGGTTCTCTGGATTT